AGTGAGATTGAGATTGGTCATGAGGAAGAAATTCATCCCAGAGAGCAAGAGAGAATCACAAACCATTCTCTGATTGTGTGGCATGAGTCAGCAGGTCATCCAGGAAAATGAGTTGTTCTTGAGGATCCCCTTTGGAGCATGGTTTAACTGGAGAAAGCTCTGAATTATTTGTTGTAAGAATCTCTTCTGTTGTGCGAGGAGCACACCCTGGGAAGGTGGGGTGAATAGAATCTCTTCTTAGAGCTAATTTTAGTGATGGGAAGCATATGAGACTGTCTCAGAACAGACTCACAGACTGGTGGAGGTTGGAAGGGACAAAGGGACTTCTGGAGTCCTCTGGTCCAGAGCCGGTTGCCCAAGATTGTGCCCAGATGGCCTTTGAACATATGCAGGGATGGAGACTCCACAGCCTACATGGGCAACTTGTGCCAGTGCTCAGTCACCCACACAGGGAAAAAGTGTTTCCTAGCATTCAGGGGGAACCTCCTGTGCCTCTGATCCCATCAGTGGGAAGAGCCTGGCTCCATCCTCTTGGCATCTTCCCGTCACAGACTTCAAGACCTTGATGGGATCCCTCCAAGACTTCTCTTCTGCAGGCTGAGCAGTCCCAGCTCACTCAGCTTCTCCATAGGAGGGATGCTCCAGCCTCTTCATCACCTTGGGGGCCCTTCACTGGACTCTCTCCGGCACGGTTACTCATAGTTACCCATGTGCAGTATCGGGGCGGAGTACCCACAAATACAGAAGGAATATCAGGAATCCTACTTTAGTGGAAAGATGCAGAATGCTTTACATCCAGAACACTGAGATGTTTGTGTAAACGCACTGGGTAGATGCTGAGGCACTAATGGGAATTAGAGAAAGATTATGAATTATTTCCGTAATTAAATGCTGGGAATGCTGTCTGCAGAGTTTCAGACGGGTTCTGTTCAGTCTAGACAATAGAGTGCCACATTGTCTTGCTTTAATTGACATTTCTTGAGCAGAATTTTTTTGGTTACTGACACAATAAAAGCAGGTACACGATGAAACTATATCACAAAAATCTGATTGGAAATTTGAGTTACTGCTTTGCCGACAATTTTTTTTTTTGAGAGAGAGAGAAATGCCTGTGCTGTTATAAAATATTTGATGGCATTTTGATTTGATCACAAATTACAAAGAATGAGCCTGAATAGCCAATTGGATCACACTTAACCTTTCATCTTCGCCTCCTATAATGCATGTTTGGTTTAGAAATTAGTTGACTTCCTTGGCTAGTTACTCTTCATCTCTTTGACACAGCGTGTGGGTGAAAGTAGTAGTTTGGTTTTATTCATCGTAGATGTCTTTTGTGGAAGTAGAACTCTGTCTGGTATTCAGTGTCCCGCTTATTTTCCAGAGATAATGAGTTGTGACTTATTTGAAGTTTGATTTGCTTTCGTAGTTGGCTTTCCTCAACATGGTGCCATCACAGAGTTCATGCGGAAGAGAGTTTGTTGTGCTGAATCCTTCTTGTTTGTATGAAACAAGACCCCGTCTTGTTTTGAATGAAGTTACTACGTATCGTCATATCTACAGAGGTGGTAGTCCTGGGTCTGTGTCATGACTCGTTCTCTTCTTCTTTTCTGTTTCAGAGTCGACAACTGGAATCAGAAACTGGAACAACTGAAGAGCACAGCCTCAACAAAGAGGCTCGGAAATGGGCTACCCGGGTAGCCCGTGAGCACAAAAACATCATCCACAGCCAGCGGGTAGGTTAGGAAACCTTTTGTTTACAGTTGTTATTTGTTGCAACTCCTACTGCATGAAAGAGGAGCTGCTACAAGCACTCGGGAATTATTTTTGTCCTGTTGTCTCTCCGGGCAGCCTGCCATTTTCATCTGACCCTTCCTTGGCACAATACACTCAGACTGCCCTGTTCATCACAGAATCGCAGAACGGTTTGGGTTGGAAGGGACCTTGAAGATCATCTAGTTCCAAGCCCCCTGCCATGGGCAGGGACACCTTCCACTAGACCAGGTTGCTCAAGGCCTCATCCAGCCTGGCCTTGGACACTTCCAGGGATGGGGCATCCGCAGCTTCTCTGGGCAACCTGTCCCAGTGCCTCCCCACCCTCTGCGGGAAGAATTCCTTCCTGATGTCCCATCTCCATCTCCCTCTTTCCATTTAAACCCATCACCCCTTGTTCTGTCACTCCCTGCCCTTGTAAAAAGTCCCCCCCAGCTTCCTTGTAGCCCCTTCAGGTACTGGAAGGTGCTCTAAGATCTCTCGGGAGCCTTCCCTTCTCCAGGCTGAACAAGCCCAACTCTCCCACTCTTTCATCACAGCAGAGGGGCTCCAGCCCTCTGAGCATCTCCGTGGCCTCCTCTGGACTCGCTCCCAGTGGTCAATATCCTTCTGATATTGAGGGCTCCAGAGCTGGACGCAGCACTCCAGGTGGGGTCTCACCAGAGCAGAGTACAGGGGCAGAATCCCCTCGCTCGACCTGTTGGCCACACTTCTCCTAATGCAGCCCATCGAATTGTTCTGGTTGAAAAGACCTTTAAGGTCATGAAGTCCAACCATCAACCTGGCACTGGTTCGCAGCTCCTCAAACCTTTAGGTCTGTCAGTACCTTTTGTTATTCCCATATAAATCGGAAGTTACAGCTTCTGCTTTACTGCAGGTAACTTACAGACCACCTCTGTCCTACACAGCATCCTTCTGGTCAAACGGAAGTTGCAGGGATCCCTTTACCTCCATTCTATCATGTATATGTTACCCAGAGGAAAAAAAATGCACTTGTTTGGATTTGAAAAGTCTTGTCAACGCTAGGAAAATCCACGAATAATGCACATTTGAACCTGATGTGAAGGCACAAAACGAAGGGTGTGTCGATACATTTCTTCCTACCTGTGCGGCTCAACATAGACCCTAGGGCTGGATTTGGACAGCCTAACAGTCTTCAGGTAGCTGTATTTTGGAATGCAGCTGAGACGGCCTGGAAGTGAGAATGAAGTCAGCCAGTGGGAATGCATCCCTGGGGTCACCGAGTTCCTTCATCATCTGTGGCAAGGCTCTCATCCTCTTGTTTGGAGAGTGTTGGGACTCGAGCGAAGTTCTTGTGCTGACTTCAGCCTACAAACATGCTTCACCTGCTCAGGTCAAGCCTAACTCGCATGGACTACATTAAATTCGGTTAAAGACGATGTGGCTACACTACAATATCTGTAATATTATATAATGTTCAGTGAGCTTCAGCCCAGGAAGTGGGGGACCTGGCTTCTAGTCCCACTGTAGAGATTTGAGCTGTTGCTCAAACTGCCGAGTGGAATGCACGAAGCAAGACCAGAGGAGGTGTTTACCATCTTACCTGTCTTCTGCTGAGCCTGCGTCACTCGGTAGCAAAAACCAGGACTTGGAGCATCAGGCAGAGGGTATTAACAGTCTGTCACCAGCCTATGATAGGCAAAGCTCTCCTCAGAGGAAGGAGGAAGCATCCTGGGTTCAGGCACCTGATGCTCCTTCTGCTTTTTCTCCAAAGACTCTATAACACAAACTAGATAATGGCTGAACCAGTCATGGATTTGCAGGTAACTGGTGAAGACTTGTGCAGTCACCTGGTTTTATTTTTAACTGGGACCGGTGCAGTCAACACACACGCACGTGCAAGTAAGAAACTCCAGCGTGTCTTCTGTGACACCCATTTTAAATATGTAAATATCAACATGTAGAGGAGTTGACTCAGAGCAGATACCATGTTCTCATGAAGATGCTGAAGCGTTCCCCTGAGAGGAGTTTCCACGTGAAATACTGTGCTTTTATGTGGTGGTTTTGCCTTGGTCAGTGTCTTTTTGCCTGGAATGAACTTCCATCGTACAACCCAGTATCTAATCAAACAACGATTTCCCTGACTTGTCATAAATATTTGTCATGGAAATGGTTTGCTAGCATTTACTACATCTGTGGGGTGTTTTCTTATTTCTGTCAGACACTGGAAGAGCTCGAATGCCATGGGCCTGTGATGTCTGAGCAAACCCGAGCAGAACTGGAGCAGAAAATAGATGAAGCAAGAGAGAGTATTCGCAAGGCTGAGGTAAGATGGAAATTATTTTGGCTTCTTCGGCTTCTTACCACGGAAGGATTTGTGTTACAGCTATTTAAATTTGTTTGTGGAAATGTAAGCTTTTAGCATCAAAGATCAGGGAATTTTAAGATGTCATTTTTTGCCTTGATTTCGTACTTTTTAAATCACTGAATCAACTTAATGAACGACTCAAGATTAGAAGAGTAAGATGGAAAATCCTCCTCATAAATAGTGATTAAACTTGCTGCGTTTTCCGCTGTCGTGCAAAGGTCAAGAATCTCTGTATTTCGGGGCTTTGTCTTAAATGGAGAAAAAAACAATCTCAAGCTTACTAGTTTCCTTCTGCTTGAGGGAATTAATACCAGAAAATGATGATCATATCTCTATCTTCACACTTCTTGGCTTCTAGAAGCAACTGCCACACGCTGGTGTGCCTTCTGTTCTAGTATTTTTTGATACACGTATTAGTTGGTACTGTTGATGGGAAAACATTTGAAATAATCTTTGTATCTCTTTCTGCTTTTGCTCTGAGGTACTTTTGAAAAGGTTACAGAGGTTTATGAGACCTGTTGTGGATTACGAAAGACTCATGAAAAGATAAACTACCTTTGTACTTGACGGCCAGTGTTGGGATGGTGAAAGTTAACTGTTTTCATGGCCAGGGATTCAAAAAACCTATTGCAAGCAACAGGAACTAATCTATTCGTTTTCGTCTGAGTGGGTTGCTTAATTAAAACTACAGAGCAAATGTAATTGTTTCAGTTAAGTGCCTCTCATACTGCTAGATATTCAGAGTACCTGATGTAATTAGGAATGTGATTTACAGTTCAAGAGGTTAGAAAATACAGGGTAAAATTATTCCTCCTGCAGGCGTGATACAGGCCAGCCTCTCTTTAAAACAAACCCAGAGTATGCTCTTTTACCAGAAAGTGGCTTAAAATGCAATAGCCTTTCATTTCGAGTCAGCTATTTCAACCGGACAACATTCCGAAGTGCTTCAGTATATATGTAGTTAATGATTAGATATGCAAGGAGCATGAGAATGAAAGGTGAAAGCAGCAGCAGAAAGAAAGAAAAATCAAGATGAGAAGATTCTCACACGAAAATATTATAAAAGGAACGAATGAAATCAGTCTGGAACTTAAGTGATTGCAAGTCTTAAGAATGCATAATTAACAACCCAGTGAATCAGTGGAAACTGAGTGAAGAGAGAATGGGCACCCTTGGGGGAGGGGGTGGAGAGAAAAACGGACCAGAGTGGGCTTTATTAGTTAAATTCTGCAAAGCTAAAACTTTGAATCACAGCATGGTTTGGGTTGGAAGGGACCTTAAAGATCATCTAGTTCCAACCCCCTGCCATGGGCAGGGACACCTTCCACTAGACCAGGGTGCTCCAAGCCTCATCCAGCCTGGCCTTGGACACTTCCAGGGATGGGGCATCCACAGCTTCTCTGGGCAACCTGTCCCAGTGCCTCCCCACCCTCTGCAGGAAGAATTCCTTCCTGATATCTAACCTAAACCTCCCCACTTATAATTTAAACCCATTTAGAGCTATATACTCAATAGACTTCTTTTTAGGAGAATGCAAGTGAATTCAGTAAGCTTTTTGCCTTTTATTTAGGGATGGCCTCTTCACTTCACCCCTTATTGTCCCCACTCCTCCAAGTGGCACCATTAAGTAATTTCAGGACCATTAATTAGACGAGATTTTTGCAGGCGTAACGATCTGTGGAAGAATGAACTATGTAAGCTTTGAGTAAAACTGGTTTCTTTTGTAAGGCATTTGTAATTCTTTGCAGCGTGTGATAATCAAACATTTGCAGCATTCCTGTATATTTAAGTGCAGCTGATTAAGTGGGAATTGCTGGTGGTTGGGTAGGGGAATGGTATTTGGGGAAAAAGTTGAAGTTATGTATTTAGGCTGTGGGGGAGCCGTGGAACTGCCCTGTCCCCATCCCACTGTGCTGCGTTTGGGTCGCGGAGCTGCGGCTGGTGAGTAAAGCAAAGCAGCGAGACTGAGCTGATGTAGCTCAGCACTTCAGAGAACTCCTTCACAGGATGGCGTGTGGGGCAAGAAGGGCGTCCCGAGAGGTGGCAGGAGTCAACGGGCAATTACTGGAAGGACCTGGCTTAGGAAGGGGAGAGGTTTTTCAACACCACTGTGTTACTCAGAACAAGAGGACTTAGAAAGTGGAAAAAGAAAGGTTACACAGGCTTTGTTCCTTTTCTACAAAAGTCAGTTTGATGTATGTAATTTATAAAGCAAAAATAGAGAAAAAAAGTCCCCAAAACATGCGAAGGGTCATAGAACTGTAGAATGGTTTGGGTTAGAAGGGACCTTAAAGATCATCGAGTTCCCTGTTTATTGGATTTACATTTAAAGAATCACAGAATCTTTTAGGGTGGAAAAGGCCTTTAAGCCCACCCAGTCCACCCGTTAACCCCACCCTGCTCATCCCACCACTGACCCATGGCCCTGAGCACCTCGGCCACACGGCTCTGAAACCCCTTCCGGAATGGTGACGACTCCCTCCCTGGGCAGCCCCTTCCAATCCTGACAGCCATTTCTGAGAATGAATTTCCCTAATATCCCATCTAAACTTGCTTGGGCTTACCTTTACCTGGGTGATGAGGGAACGAAGGGTGACTGTCTCCTGATACTACATCTTTTTGTCCCCCTGCTGATGCCAGGTCTGAACTTTATATAAACCTGAGGAAATGTGAATGTTTCCGGC